TCTTTCCAAGAAGCAGATTAGACTGGAAAGTGACATCTCTCTTTCTTAAATGAGACTTTTTTCCATCTACCTTAAACCCTGATGCTTTGGTAGAGAAACTTTCATCATCCAAGACAAGCATTTAGGGCAAGGCCCAAAATCCTTGAAGTTGAATGGTTTATTTGGCCTTCGCGCGATCAGTAGTTCTCCTTTCTTGGTTTTGATAACCTCCATGTTGTGAAGATGATCTCCCTTTGCTCGGAGTAGGTCGGACAAAGGCATTTTGGCTTGTATGCATTTTTTTCTGTCCTCCTTGTCTGCCCTTAACATGTTGCTGATCTGTTTCACTTGGGGCTCTTCCGCATAAACACCTAGAAGATGCTCCTGAACATGCAAAGTCATCTTGTTGCAGTAACAGCAAGCATGGTAGGAATTCACAACACGATCAGTTGTTTTTTTAGTGAAGTATTTTTTCTAAGACTACTAAATGACTTCACAATTTTATGAATATAAATAGTTGGTACATTTTGATCTCTAATAATCTCGCTTTCAGAGAGTGTTGGCTGCTTTTTCACTGTCACATTTTCTAAGCTCTGTGGCTGAAAGTAGTGAATCATTAATAACTTAATAGTACATAGTGTGATATTTCTAGGGCCTCTACTAAATAAGCATGTAGCATAGTATTGGTAGGGGTCGATAATGTTTTTTATGATTAAAGAGGTGCAGAATAACTAAGCAGATAATATCAAGAATGTATATGCAGGGTGTTCCATATGTTTCAGGAATGGTGCTGTATTTCATTGGTTTTCTTTTCAATCTAGCTGAATTATTAACAAAATGTGCTCAAATATGTTGGGAATAAGTTGAGAAAGTTTCATATCATAATTATAAAGCTTAGTAGACTTAATAATATGGTTGCTATAGTAACCCAGTGGTAGGGTAGGTGGAGCAAGCGGAACAACGCGCAAAACATCTGATTTTTTTTTTCAAAAATAGTCGTTCTTTGTATGAAGTTTGAATAAGTATTAGGTTGTCATAGTATAACACCACTAGTTCGTGTTGATGGACATCTACAAGTCTAGTCGTTATTATGATGGCTAATTAACTGGTAAACCATAACTGGAATTAGTAAAGTACGATGCTGGCGCACAGTGATTGCAGTGAAGGAATTTAACAATTTACAACGTCACAATCGATGGATACAGCCTTCAGTGCTAGCTCACAGCGCTGCGACTATTCTTATGAACGTGACCTCGGATATGTGAGACGTACCTGTTGTACTTCTGTACTTCCTGCTTTATAACTTTCGTACATTTTATATTGTTACTAAAAACAAAGGATTGGCCCTCGTCGTCCACATACTTAATGAAGATATTCCCATTCGTAATTGTGCATAGATCCTGGGCGGACTTAAAAAGCCCGCGCCTTCTTTCATATTTTTGTTATTTCTCTTTCTCCTGTCTGGTTCATATGCCAATGACTGAGGCCCAGTGTGGTGCCTCCACTTGCCATTCCTGGAAAAGGCGGCATTTTGATTTATTTATTACAACCACCAAGCCAATTGCCTCTGGAGCATTATAGGTGTGTTCCTTCAGGTGAAGGCAATTATTATTATAGATATATTTGATTACAAACTCTGAAATTGTGACCTTGGATATGAAATTGTCAAAATGTGAAGTGAGGTGTTGGGGGAGCGGTATTAGTTTGAGCTCGATAGCCCATTTCGTCCCTAGGAGTTCGTCAATTCCGTAACAGCAGTCGCCAAACAATAAATAAAGACATTCGTTGGCATGACAGACCTATTAATTCATGTTGAATCAAAAAACTTACGCGTTGGGGCCTTTTTTGTTTTTCTCCATCCGGGCGATAATATAGTAATTTAAAATTCCTGCCAATTGAACTATCAACCGTCAAATTTTTCAGTTCAGCCAGAGTGGATAATACAGTCATTTTATATGATTATTAGCTGTTGGTGGAATGTTACCTTTTTTAAAGTGTACATGACAATTCTGACATATCCATAGTTTGCTTTTAGGGGATTTACAAAGTGTACATCTTTGTTTGCATGACTTTTCTTTCTTGTGCAAATATATTTTTGAAACACTCTTTTGTTCATCCTCTCGAGATAATTTTGTAAAGGTATTTTCTTTGTATGAAAGCACTTGATGTTTAAAAAGCAATCTGTGACAAAAAACAAATATAGTTTAGTCCATCATTTATTGTTTGATTGAATTTTTTTGTTGCCATATTTTTCTTTGCTTTTTAATTTCTTTTCATTGTGTAAGTCTGGATCAGATTCATACTTTTGTTTGCTTTGTTGTTTCACTTTTTGTTGAAAGGATCAGATTTGTACTTTTGTTTGCTTAGTTTCTTCTTTTTTTCTTGAAAGTAAAGATCAGATTCATAGTTTTGTTTGCTTTGTTTCTTCTTTTTTTTCTTGAAAGTCTAGATCGGATTCATACTTTTGTTTGCTTTGTTTCTTCTTTTTTTCTTGGAAGTCTAGATGGGATTCCTACTTTTGTTTGCTTTGTAGCTTCTTTTTTTCTTGAAAGTCTAGATCAGATTCATACTTTTGTTTGCTTTGTTTCTTCTTTTTTTGTTGAAAGTCTAGATCAGATTCATACTTTTGTCTACTTTGCTGCTTCACCCTCTCTTGAAAGTCTATATCATGTGCATATTTTATTTTACTTTGCCTCATCATAGCATGTTTAACATCAGGGGTAGACATCTCATATTTTTCTTTACTACATTTTATTTTTTCCTCTTTAAAAGATTTATTAGTGGCATACTTTATCCTCTCAAGAACAGCTTTTAAAACAGATTACTTCTGGACATCTGCAATATGCAGCACACCAAGGAGTCCTGGACACACTGAAATTGGGTGAACAATGCTTCCAAACTTGTCAGTATCTGACACTTTATATCTCTCAGGTATCAATGTTTGCGAGACATGATGTACCTTAGATAGACTTTCTATGACATTCCTTGATGTTATAGTTGAAACCAATGTCATGTGCATCCTGTCCCTATTGCGCAAGTGTCTCAGTGGAATGTTTTTCTGAAGTGATATTTTTACTTCTGGTCTCCCATAATCACGTAAAGTTCTGAGGAATACTTAGGAAAACCATGGGGAATAGGTATCTTAATAGTCTTTGAGTATTCGTACCATACTTAACACAAGGAAAATGTTTGAAAATTTTTTAGTAAAAAAACATGTACCCAGGTAAACTGTCAAAATATTGTATTGTTATATATCTGATATTAATATTCTAAAGCTTTGATACAACATATTAGTATTTATTGAATTTCTATGGGTACCAATAGGTACAGTTGCTGAAAGTTGAATGTACAGTTTCTAAGGGGTTGGGTCAAAATATCGATGTCCGTCAAAAAACATAATAAATTTATTTAGGTCTAAACCCCCCTCCTCCTTGTAATGAAACCAAAACTCTTGAAAATTGAAATTCCCAGGAAAACGAAAATCGATGTCCATCACCTAATGAAATCAGTGTTTGACCCCCTCCCCCTAATGAAATTAATTACATTTTTCGATTGACGTCAATATTTTGTCCTGACTCCTAGCAGATGTTTTAGTTATTTTAAAACTATTCCATGTTAGTATCACTATCCTCAGATAAAGGCAAGTCTTTGGCATCGTGGAGTCACCTAGGAAATCTTTTGAAAATTGATAGCATTCATGTCTGGCAGCTCCCAAATACCATATAACATAGTGCACAACAGCCTAGAACTCTGGCCCCACTGTTGCATGTACAATACCATCCTGTTATTGGTTCTAACAATGTTTTTTCATATTTGATCCATATGAAATACTTCATGGCCTGGATGTGGCGACACTGAAGACGGGCCCTAACAAGATTGGCTGCATCCTTGTGTACAGATACTTCATATTTCCCATCTATGGTCATATGCTCATCAGTGTAATGGCGGGCCTTGTTTATCTGGTATACACCAACAGTTAGCCCTCTCAAGTAGTCCTCAGTCAATTTTGGGAAATCTGGTAACAGACTTATCATCAATGGCAATATCGTTGGAAACATCAAGATGTTCCATTTGCCTCTGCTACTCAAAGCCCCCTTTTCTACTCTTTTCTGAACATGGTTTCCCAGTTTGCATTTTTCTAGCATTTTCCTCGCAACTTCCTCATCAGCAGGAGTGGGTATTTTAAAATCTGGGTGATACTAGACTTGTTAATGATCCCTCCAATGATCTGTAGATAGTCCCCAATGAAAGGTATCTGTGTGTTGGAGACAACATGGCTGAAGAACAACCAGCGTTTCTTCCCAGAGTTTGTTCATTTTTGTTTTATTGATTTATCTCAACTCTTCATAGATTAGATTGATTTATTCCTCTTCATCCAATTTAGGGTATTAGAGTCTCAAGTACAAATTACAGCAACAGTAATCAAAAATAATGTAACAAACATGTATACAGTCCCTTATGATTTTATAAAAACAATTCTAACCAGTCTATTGGAGACCAACCCTTATATAATTTACCTTATATCACAATAGTAACATAATTTTGAAACTTTCGACATAATAACAACCAATCTCTACACCATAGAGATTACACCACCATTTATTTGCTGATTTCAGTGAGGGGTTGGGATGGGAAAGGGGATACTCAAAGCGGGATGACAGTTGATCTGAGCTAAAGGATGGTCAATGGATGGTATAGAAGGGGTGGGATGGGCGTCCATAAGCGGTTGAACCATCAGAATTGCTGACAAAGGGGCATCGTAATATAAACTTCATTTTGGGGGTCACAAGGGATGCCTGGAGATTCTAATGATTGTAACATTTGAGAGGTGACATGTTTCTCCATAAGTGGCTGAATAGTGGAGGATGTGGCATCATAAAATATGTCTTCCATAATGGGGAATGACTCAGGGGGAGTATCCATGATGGGTTTAGTGATGGGAAACAGGCTGTGAATAAAGTCCCAAAGCCAATCAAGCACCCTAGACAAACATAAAAGATTCGGTTAAGTACAAAAAAACACAAAAACCTGTATGAAAACTAAGAAAAGTTACCCAAGGGCTAAGAAAAAACTGCAAAAACAGAAAGGAATGAATAACAGACAAAATGTTAGTAGTGGCATTAAGTATTATTCTTATGTGTACTGTGATAGTCTTATATTTAAAGCTGCACATGTTTACAACATAATATCAAATTTTTCAAGTTATAATGGAGCCTGTCTGCGTCTTGTGTCAGCACATCTCCTTGGTTTTTGCTCAAACCAACGTCCCCATGCACTGTTAAAGTCAAACTCTTCCTTCTTTGGCCCATTGATGATTATATTCAATACTTTGTCGATGCTGCTAACCAAGTGTGATCACAAGAAATAGCAGGCTAGTTCTGACATTTTGAGTCGAATAACATAGCAAAATTAATACTATGTTTACTACGTCTCATTAATAATATTATTGTCACGTGACCCTTAATCTATATTTGGCGAAAATGGGCTGGTACTTGTGTGGATGATTGACAAGGCATTAGAAATACAAATTTAATAATTTATATTCTAGCTTTACACAAATAAACATTTTTATATATATTTGCAGACTGTATGATATACAGGACTACTTACAATTGACTTCTTCGAGCCGCCAAATGTCTTGTTTCCGCATAATTGTGGAATATAATATTTTTAATATTCGCGCTGACTCAGTATCAGTACATGCTTTTTCAGTCTGTTTGTCTGCGGACGAAGCAGCGAGATACGTTTTTTTGCGCAAATGTTTTTTAATAATGCCTTAGCTTGATTAGCATGCTAAAAGCACTCCCGGGGTTTTGCGCAGCTGGTTTACTATACTTGTTTTGCCCGGTTTATATCAAGGAAGATGGCTGTCAAAAGTTTCTAAACATTATGATTTTTCTGTCGTTCTTTCAAGATTTTGGTGAGTATTGAGTGAAGTAGGCGCAAAAACAGTTTGAGGGTGGCGCAAACTTTGAGGTAGGCGCATGCTAGGCGCAGTTTTAAGTTGAAGTGGGCGCTGCGCCACGAAAGAAGATGCTGGGGAGATCATAGGAATGCTTTCGTTTCTTGACTCTATTGACCCTATGCATCAGTGTGACGTCATGCCTTTGTCCGGCCAGAAAATATTGCTGGCCGTCTAGAAACGTCATAAGCAACCAGTGCTCAAAATGGCAACGAAGTGATGAGAAAAAATTAAAAGAGTATGCCTAAATGCTGCATTGCTGTTGGATGTTCGAATAGAGAACAAGTCGGCATTACGTTTTATCGCTTTCCGAGTGACAAGAAGTCACCTGTAAAAAGAAAGCTATGGATAAATGCTGTAAAAAGGCAAAACTGGGAACCAAAAGAACACGATCGACTTTGCAGCGCTCATTTCTTGTCAGGTACAGTGTAGTAATCGAAACAGACCTGGTTTTCTAAATAATAAGTAAAATAAAATTTTATTTATTATAAAGTTATCAGTAAATAATGCACATTTAAATACCACGCATTGTGTTAATACCGCTATCATTAAACACGAGGGAAGTAGGCCTATGTAAGTAATATTATGTGACTGTCGGTGAGCCACGTTGATTTTCACGGGTATTTCTGCATGTACTTTTTATGGAGAAAACTAAGAACTTAAAATAAACCTTTGTAATATTTGTTTGTATATTGATGTGCGCTTCACTAGAATATCAATCATAGTGTTTCCACCCCGTTTTAATTTTAAAAATTGAGATCCCTTTCTAACATTGATATTTCACACAGAAAAAAATGATTGAGACCATGGCATACATGACATGGGTATATACAAATCCACTTATTTATCAATTCAAACACATATTTTCAGGACAAAAGTCAAATATTGAAGATCATCCCGACTTCATTCCCTCTGTCTTTTCGTACAAATCTAGCGAGGAGATCGAGAGGAAGCGAAAGAGCTTACATGCATATGAACGTCATGCCTCAAAGAGATGCAGAGTCACGAATATTGTTAAGTGTGAAACATTCGACACGTTCACTGATACGAATGTTGGTACACAGACCGACCTTTCTTGTTCCGAGTTGGATAATATTATGCGAGAAGTGATGGACCTAAAACGTGAAAACACGGAATTAAAGGAAAAGAGCAGACTCTGTAATACATTAAGAAATGAACTTGAGACACTCAAATCCGAAAACAACCACTTACAGCAAGAGATTCGAAACCTAGAAATTAACGAGGAAACGTTTAAAAATAACGAAAACAAACTGAAATATTATACCAGGTTGCAGTCTTTTTGGCTCATCTTAACATGATAATTGGACACCTGGTCCCCAGAGCAACCATGAGTAAATCTTCCCAATTCATATTAACCTTGATGAGACTTCGTCTAAATCTTGGCACTCACGATTTAGCATACCGCTTTAACATCGATCAATCTACAGTTTCACGAATATTCTCTCACGTAATCGATGTTTGCAACGCAAGACTTGTACCTGTACTTGTTAAATGGCCGAATGACTTATTGAATCTTCGGGCTACACTACCACGGTCGTTTTTAGGGGCATTTAGTAAGTGTGTTGGTATCATAGACTGTTTTGAAATTTTCATTGAAAAGCCAAAGGACCTTGATGCTCGAGCAACAACATATAGTCACTATAAATCGAACAATACAATCAAATATCTTATCGCAATTGCACCCCAAGGCGTTGTGACTTTTGTTTCCAAAGGTTGGGGAGGACGTGTTAGTGACAAACATTTAACTGATAATTGTGGTCTTCTAGAGAAGCTTCAGCCAGGAGACTTAATACTTGCAGACCGTGGTTTTGACATACAAGATCTTGTTGGACTTCATGGTGCAAAAGTAGAAATCCCAGCTTTCACAAGAGGAAAATCGCAATTAAGTTTGTACGAGGTGGAATCTACCAGAGGATTAGCCTCTGTTCGAATACACGTTGAGAGAGTTATTGGTTTAGTCAGGAGCAAGTACACAATGCTTAGTGCAAAAATACCAATATCACTCCTTCAAACAGATGAAACAACTGGGCTTACTACTCTAGACAAGGTGGTTTTTGTTTCCAGTGCCCTGTCAAATACATGTGAATCAGTTGTACCATTTTAATTAAATATGTTATATTTCGGATTGAATTACACAATTCGTAATATACATTGCAGTCTAGTATAAAGTCAGTGTCTAGTATAAACTGATGAGGTTACACTTCATACAGAATATTTACTAATTCAAACCTGGAAAATAAATTCACGTCCTTCCTAACATTGGATCTATGAAGTCGAGAGATTTATTTTAGAATCCTTAAATTGACAGTTTCTACACCATGTACACTGGTCTTAATTATTCCTCTTATCAATCAATGAAAACCTCATCATTTTTCAAACGTTTCATGGTTCCAATAAATTATTACAAGACGGGAATATAATGTTCATAGACTCTAATATGTACAATATATACAGTAACAGTAACTTGTCAAAGGTCTGATTTGTGCTAAATATGGCTAGAGGTACATGTATTTACAATTTAGTGGAGGGGATCTACAATGCCTAATTTGCATCACCACTTTCAGACTTTACTGCTGACATTTTTCACATACCTCTAATGATAAAACACTTATTAACATTTTATGTGTTTACGTGGTACTTAAGGATGTATCTTTCTTCAGCACGAACTGTAATTTTGTAACATGGAGAAATACATTCAGAAAATCAATTCTCATATTCATATCTACAATTACAAAAAAGGTATGCAGTTTGATGCTACTGTAATATAAAATGTGGACTTTTTGACCCACCCTGTATTTACATGAGTGTTAGTTGACATTCGCTTGTAACCAATACAATAAAATTCCAATTTAGCAATCACTTTTCTGTTCAAATTATATGTTGATTTTCTTTGCTTTTCTACATTCTGGACAAACCCACGACTTCCTTGATGTTGTGAGTTTCATGCACTTTAAGTGAAATTTTGATATTGCACAATTTTTATTCTTGCAAATAATTATCTCGCCATTTCCAGTTTCTTGCCTGCACATGCAAATGGCATCAAGGGTTAAGCTTAGATCATTTGATAAATACTGTTGAGTGGTGTCTCTGGTGAACCATTTGCAGCATAATTCAGGCATTATCGAAGTGAGGTACACATGCTTGACTTTGATAGTGTTTTCCTCATAAAATTTAAGGTCTGGAAGCAATCTCTGATAATAAAATTCTTTTTCAGTCCACACAACTATGTCTCCATAGCTAGCTTTACATGAAAATATCTGGAGTTGCAACTGGAAGTAGTACTGGTGATCTGTTTTTAATCCAATAATCTCACCATTTGCATTTCGAACTAAGCAGCTAGAGTCCCTGTCAGCTTCATCTGACAAAGTACCATGGCGAGAACAATATGGACATTTGATCTCCAACACTCCCTTCCCACAGCAATTGCAGCTAATGACACCGTCAGGTGAGGCACCCATATATGGGAACTCATGATTGATCACAAATCCAGATTGTAACACGCTGAAGTCCTTGTGTAAGGGCTTAGCATGATTGATGAACTGTTGCCTTGCTGTTTCCTCGTGCTCACACCCCCACCTGGAAGAGATGAAGATAGCATTTTAATTTCACTTAATTTGGTGATGTTTCATTGAATTTTTCTTACGATTCTCAAATGACAAATATTGGAGAAGTTTTATCTGCATGAATCAATACATATATCCTATCTGATATTTTAGCTAACTTGATTTTATTGATTTAGACATGATTCTCTACACAGGTGCATGATTTAAGGTTAAATATTACATGTATTTGTCTGTTAAAACATGGAGCTGCTAAATGTCTCTAATACATTGTGTATTAAACAAGAACTTGTGGAATATATGGGATACAATTCATCAATCCTGAGAAACACGTTAATTTTATTATCATTCAAGTAAGATTTCAAATGGTCAAACCTCGTGGCCTTAGAATTGAACTTCATCTTCTCAGGGTAGCACACCTGCTTGATCAATGACATTGCAGGGCAGTCTGGGTTGGTACGGGCAGCCCGTTTAAATATTGATGCTGTCACCCTTCCCGCTCGATGACTGTACCATGTGCTGTTTGATTGGCATCTTGTGGTCTCTTCTAAAGCTGCAGCCTAAATTTAAATAATCAAAAGTGCACAGTCTTTGTATGTCTGCATGAAATATCAATACCCATACATTCATTTCATTTATATATTTAGGAGGATTAGATACATTATTGATAAGGTCGCCGCAGACGGATTAGGTGTGAACGAAATCGAATACCGGTACATTATTTGTATGGTCAGACATATACTTGTAGTTTTGTGAGAAAAAATCTGATCGTTTGAATCTGAAATTAAACATTACATACCTGGATGGGATCATAAGTTATTTTCTGCAATTGATCCTCACACTTAACCAACAGGTCGGGAAATGTCAATGGCTGCAAATCCGGGTCAAATAATAAGTCAGGTATCGTTTTAGGCAAGTTTACCAATACAGGACGTGGGACAAATGACTTGGAGTATTCTGGTATCAGGCTGAGTATGGCACACTTAGTTCCACTACTGTTCAAATCACTGTAGAATTTATTAGTCTCTTCTTCTGTGGGTCCTGGTATTTTATCACTTTTGCGAGTCTTGCGTGTTGGTGCTGTTGATGGAGCACACATTGCTGTTCTTTTGTGGGATGGGCTTGAAAACTCTATGTCACTCCCTGGTCTGTATGAAACAGGTTTGTCAGATACGCTGCTCCACTCACATGGAACTGAGGTACAGGACTGACGAGCTACATTTATGACTCTTGTCTCCAACGCAAATTGAGTTGCTGCAATGTGTGAGCATGCCTCCCCTAGACCTGCCATGCAGGTACAATGAGCACATATCACCTCCCCACTAGGATGCACAGCTATCCACGGTTCCAGTGGTGTTTTATTTAGTGCCTGAGAATGGTATACCTGTAATCATATAATTATTATTCGATGATACCAATTCTTCACGACATGACCTCGTAGGCCTAAATATGGATACAATTTAATTTAAATCTAGCTAACGTGCAAGGCAATTGATACACTGGATCGCAATCGAAAGTTGGTTATTTGTTTACAACTAGATGTACAAAAACATCTGTACAATAAATCAGGTCAGTATACACAGACCACTGTCCGACTTAGTTGTTTACTATGTAGCAACTTTGACCTGTTGAAAGACAAACTGACATATGCAGTGCAGCCCACACTGACTCGATTTTCAAATGGTAGTGACCGTGAGGAGTGGAGAGAGGACGTTGGTTCAACAATTAAAATCATTCAACAAAAATCGTAGAGGAGGCTTTGGACCGAAGTAAACTTAGAAAAGTGAGATAACATCTTGGCGTACAAACCTTACCTTAGCTAGAATAACAAGAGATCCCGATGTACATCTATATGTAAGTACATTTCTTACATAACCAGCAACGAGGTACTGATATCCCTCAAGCGATTTGTAGGCCTTCAAGGTCTGTCCGTTGAACAACTTGCTAGGCGTATTGATCAGGTACTGGTAAATATCTCCAAAACTAAAATCCGGGAGATTCTTTTTTGAAAGTGACATTAATCCAATTAATTTATTGCGATCAATGCTATACGGGTCAACCCCGTCCAAAGGTTCAATTTTTGTTATATATCGATTCAGACTTTCATGATCTAACTTAGATATTTGAGATGATTTCCTCGTAGAAGAAACAGTTGTTGTTTTGCTTTCCGCCATATTTGATGTTTTGATTTTCCCGGGCTTTTCTAGACGGCCAGCTGAACTGAGCTTGAAAAATTTGTATTTGTGACGTCACTCGTGCATAGGGTCAATAGTGACAAAAAACGTCGTTCTTCATTGTCAATAGTGTGTTGAAGGTTAATTCAAAGATTTGAAGGACAATTCTGCAAAAAATTCTGCAAGAAAAAAAGCAAATTGTCATTGATGGACTGCATCCTTAAAATTGGTCAGGACATTCAAGTACCACAATATTCTGTCGCCAGTGGTAAGGAAAAGCATTATGAATAGGTGTATTACAGACTGATGTTGCTCATCATGTAAACACTAGGGGTGGGACGGATAACCGAAATACCGAAAAACCGCGGTTCATAGCCTTCGGATCGGTTTTCGGATCACGGCCCTACTTTCGGATCAGCTTTTCGGATCGTTTTCGGATTAATATTTCATTGGTCAAGTATCAATAAAACAGTTAAAAACACTGTTTTACAGCAACATTTTTGATATTCCTAATCCCTTGTCTGTCTTGTCTGTTGCCCCGGGTCTGTTGCTAGCTCACTCGTTTACTAGATTCGTTTCGTATCCGCGTATTCGTATCCCTCGGTAATCAATCATGTGGTCCCTGGTACTATATTCTTTAGTCGTGTATTCTAAATAATATGTATTGTTCATGAAATACTATAACATAAAATTCCATCTATAAAATATTGTTATAACGTGGCATAATTGATACAAAGATTTGCGCAAATTTATATTTGCGCAGGTTCGATAGGGTATTATTTTGTGCGCACCCACAATACATTCAAATATGGCGTCTGGATCTCAAATTCCCGTTTTCCCAAAAGAAATGAAGATTATTGCAGCCCCCACAAAGCTAAAATCAGCCGTTTGGACGTACTTTGGGTTCGCAGAAGTCGATGTAACAGCCCAAAGGGCCCAATTGAAACCAGAAGCAGTGGACATATTAGTTTTTCTAAAGAAAAACATGAAAGTGTAAACTCACTAAACTTACACAATCATGACTTCCTCTGTAAAAAACGCATCACAGAATAAAGGTTTCTACAAGCATAAATTAGTTATTTTATTGGTTGTATTAAAAGAAAGTGACAGTCAGCAGTGAAGTCAGAGACAAAGCAGCTAATCATGTCAATCAATACAAATCCTTAAAATGAATGAACCGAACCGAAAAAACCGAACCGACGGCTGATGATCCGAAAAACCGAACCGAACCGAACCGAAACGAACCGTCCCATCCCTAGTAAACACTGGATCTATTGTTTCTATGTTTCAGTGGTTAGTGGATGGAATTAAGAGAGATTCAGGGATCTCTCTGAAGACTGATTTTGGGAATATATAACATGAACTAGGATTGGACAACTTGTGGAATGATGAACATTTACTTGAGTGAACATTTAATAACTGATTTATCCTATACTTAGTAAATTATAAAGATAAGTAGATTGTTAAGTGTGCATTGAATGTTATGGACGCTCATGTAATAATTACAAATGATTACTACAATCAAAACATGAATATCTTATATCAATGTAAAATTCTTCACAGTTATTGTTTTTTAAAGCTCCACACTTTTTAAAATAAAACGAAATTCCAGGGAATTGCTGAGGGGGTGATATATATATATCCCGCTCACCTCAGCGGGAGATTTGAAGAGTAGTCTCAAACATAAGACACTGCTTGATGGAACAATTTATAACTACCAACAATAATCTTTAAACTATTTGCTTTGTCTTTTTGAACATTTCACAGGGTTTCTGATTTAGTTTGATATTGGCATGAAACATCAATTAATTGAATGCAAAGATGAGCTCAGCCAGGTCATTGAAATACTTATGATATGATATTATGTAGTGAATGCATTTTGTCAGATGACCTTTTCCAGTTCCAGCTCTACCACAAATGACTTCTTTTTCAAGGGGGATACAGGTTTTGGAAGCTTCATATTGTCCAGTACCTCTGTCACTGATTCTTCTATTGGGGGCAGGGTAGATATGAACTCAACCAGTGGTTTATCTAGGGATTCATCTTCCTTGATGGCGATGCCTTCCCTTTCATCGGATTCATCTGCCTTACTCTACACCTCGTACAATCTGAAACATAGAAGACAAGTGTGAGTTTTATATACTGGAAGGATACCCTGTTCGTGACACAAAATTTGGAACATTTTATTATTAAGTATCCATTGACATCACAAACATTTTTATTGTGTTTAAAAATGTTATATAGTTCTGTAAGAAACTTATATGTTATTGGAACCTTTTATTTAGGGGTGTTCATGTATTTGTAAGACAAAGATTGTAAAAATACCTGCATGGTCTGAAAAAAAAACTGTAGTACATATGTATCACATTTGTAATAATGAAACAAATGAAATTCCCAAGGATAGAAACCAGAACTTAGATAATCAGGTCTGCTCTGTGGTAGCCCTTTTCGCAGATTTGGCAGACGTCCCTGGGTGTATTTAATGACTCCTTGTTTTCAAAGGCGTTATTGGGATTTGTCCTAGATGCGTTACTCACGTTACTCATACTCGCAACTCGTAATTGCCCCAAGAGCTTTTATGCCTCTTGGATAACAGTAGACAGGTTTTTTGACGATTCTGCTTCTGCATCGTCCGTTATTCTCATGCTCTCTAACGCTAAATACGTCCGAGACATCGCCTCTATCAACGATGAGGGGTTTTGTTGTATCACTATCTTTCACCTTTCTTGGCAAACCCTTGATGAATGTTCGAACTTGTTCCCCTTCTGTCCGTTTTAGCATTTCTCCAAGTCACTTCACTACGAGTTGATTTTCTATAACCCACTTAGGTTGAGTATTAAACGTACGAATTCTGTAAGAAATTTGTTCATTGTTGGAACCTTTTATCTAAGGTTTTTCACGTATTTATAAGGCAAAAATTGTAGAAATACCGAGAGCTGTAAGGTACTGAAGTCCACAGCAGGTACTATTCTAAATGTATATTGTACATACTAATGTTTCTGATTTTTCGACAAATACTGCACCTCATTTTCTTTTGCATTTTGGAGCATCAAAGAATGCTTTTTTCAAATCTTCAAGTACTGGGAATTCATCTGATTCAAGAACCTAAAACATTCTGAATCATCTTCATAAATTTGTTATTGGTTGATGGTTTGTTTGGAGATTGTAACACACCATTACATCATTGCTCTTCTTTGTCAGTACATTCATGGTATTGACTAGTATCGACTATTAAAAATACTGCCAGTGGGTGCTGAAGAGATGCTGTACTAATGCGTTGTTCTTGATGGGAGAACAGATATTTTCTGTAAACTCTTCCAGAAGTTCACGGACCATTGCTGTTTGGCTCACTAACATGCATTTTGTTTTCCAATTATGTTCAACTTTCTTCCATGCGCTCCAAACAACTGGATGACTGAGCTCAGATTTTTCAAAGTTGAAATATGAAAACAAGGTTTCCTTAAAATTGCAGCATTTCTGGCAATCACCTTTGATACTTTGAGTCAGGTTTTGGGCAAAGCAGAATGTTCAGCAAGTCATTCTCATTGGTGTTTTTTTCTGGTTCTTTGACTTTTGTACTGAAGGTTAACAGCTTGAATCTTACATTTATATAGTATGTGCATACGCAGTATTCTCTATACTAAAACAATTCATTAATGCCAAACTTTGTTAAATACTTAAAACTCACTAAATAATATGCATCTAGATCTAGCATAATATGTCTTGTATGTCTTAGCTAGCTGTCTATCAACTTAGGAACTACTGTCCATTGTGTATCTATTGTCTATGAAAGTGATTCAGTCAGTGAGACATTAAAAGTGGCACATCTGTGATAAATAATGCACATCCTACCTTGCTGTCCCAAAGGTCGGCTACTTGGTCATCTGTGACAGTTCATAGAGTGTAAATTCAATCATTAGCTAACAATTTTTATACTAAAGGAATGGTTGCCTGTATAGAAATTTCTATAGCATATCTGATAACTATCCGTATAGAAATTTCTATAGGAGGTAAGCTAACAAGTTTTTGTAAAATTATACTAGAGAAATTGCTGCCTGTATAGAAATTTCTATGGCATACCAGATACCTGTCCCTAGAATTTCATCTAGGAAGATCTATACAGGTAATGCGTGTAACTAAAACATGCCTTCTCAAAGGAGCTAATTTTACATAGCTCATAGAACATTCCAAGTATATGATGAACCTGTCAATGAACAGTTATTGCACATCAAAATCCTACATTTGAACATTCTCAACATGATACACACTTTTGCTTTGTTCTCAATTGTTTTGTTGGTGATTTTCTGTCAAACCTCAGAAAAATATATAGATTTAATCCTGTATATTTCCAGTTGTCTCTGATTAATAGTCACTGAAATATCTTAATTTATGATAAGCTGAATTCATGGCATTTTGGAATCCTCCCGCTTTCACTTAGAAAGAGCATAACTCCAGTGAAAGACAAACTTTTAAACTGCATTTTGTTTTATTTGTAAGATAATGAGATTGTTGCCTCTGCAAATATATCACTTTAACACCAAAATCCCTTCTGGAAAATTAAAATTCATGATTTATTGCACATTTAATGTATGAACAATTTTTACTTTCAAATTGTTCGCTTTTAACAAAATATGTCCAATGAAAAGTAACTAAAGTATGCTACTAAAGTTGACAAACCAAAGAAGATAAATAAGATAAAAACTGAGGGAAAGTGAATACAATTGTCTTAGTAACAGACTTTACGTATTTATTGTCTATGATTCGATACATATTAGGCGACACATCGCCCACGTCTGCCTTGTCAAAATCTTTGACCTTCAGCATTGGTGGCGTCAATTTTCCAATGTTGTTAATGTCTGCTTTTGCTGCAATTCTGCAATTCCCTAGTTGCAGCAATGACGTCCTTCCTCTTGACAATTTTTCATTCCTTTGAATTTGGATACTAATTGGAATAGTCCGTTTTGACGCACTGAATACCGCTTGCAATATGTGGTACTCTTCTGGAGTTGACATGGTGATGACTCTCTCAGAATATCTCTAATACACTTGTTATATATATATATCCAGTCCACTAACCAACATTCCTGGCTTTACGGCCCCAGTGTTATTTATTTTATATGTGTGGTTGATTATAGTACAACAGAGACATACGTTTTTTGTAAGTCATATATTTCTCCAGTGTTATTTCTTCCAACAACCAACACTAAGTTTTCTTTACCACCAAATATATATTCAATCAGCCTCAGCTACATTTAGGCTCAAGCATTCTCATTCTCCAATCAGATCTTTTGTTTACTTAAATCAAGTTCTTAAAGATACAGACTTACATTAAAGTTGTTTAAAGAGTAAATATGGATTATGCACTCTGACATGCAGGATTATACACATAATCATACTAACAAATATATATTATAAAAACTATTGAAACAGAACCCTCTGCTTATAACAACAGGCATACCAAGATAGTGCTTGACATTATGAATCCTAGAATGCTGAGCGAAGTGAAAAACAAAATATAATATTTAGTTATAATAAACTGGTTCAGTATAAAAACAAGGTGCTAGCACCAGGGTGATAGAGAACCTTCTGATAATTCATTTGTGAAATAACGATATGTAATAATGGGCTCAACATTCAGGGCAAAATAAAAGATTCATAATATCTTTAGTCCAAAGATAAGCCGCTTAAAAGATTTTTGGAATGGGAAATCTTACATGGCAAATGTAACTAGTTTGTGATCTTTACGCGCTGAAGTAGTTCCAATAATTGTATCTTGATCTTGGGGTGATGAGGAAGATTTAACAGTAAAACTTTGGGGTGTCATGGTGCCTTGAATCATAGCCTCTTTATGTGCTGGGGTAGTGTCAAATATGAAGTTTTGAGATGTTGAAGCAGTTTCCATCGGGTCATCTCGATTTGCTAGGGTATTGCTAACTGTAGGAATAGGCCGTATCGAAGTGGTTTTAACCGTAGTAATCGGCCGTATCAAAGTGGCGCTAACTGTGGGAATAGGCTTATCAAAGTGGTGCTAACAGTAGGAATAGGCCTATGGAAGTGGTGCTAACAAGGAATAGGCCATATCGAAGTGTTGCTAACTGTAGGAATAGGCCGTATCGAAGTCTTGCTAACTGTAGGAATAGGCCGTATCGAAGTGATGCTTACCGTAGGAATCGGCTGTATCGAAGTGGTGCTAACCGTAGGAAATTGACGTGTCGAAGGGGCACTAATGATGGAATCCTGGCAACGGCACCAGTGAAATCATTCCTTGATTTGTGATTTTTATTGTTTATGGGTTCTGCGAATTTACTTATTTATTACTGAAGTACTATGACTTTTTTTTGTGGAATTGTCCTTAGTTCAGCTGTTGGTGTTTAATATTCATAAAGTTCAAAGTTCATCAGACCAAACTTCCTTACATCAAGTGTAACATAACAAGTCAGTTTTGCTGTTCAATCCAAGTATATTGTATAAGAAATATTTTCTCTTTTTACATTTCTACAGTACAAATGTTAACTTAGTCTCTATCAGTTACTTGGCTTCAATCTCTCTCACAGAACCTCCACTTTCACAGAACCAACCACTCAAACTTATCATCCGTATTTATATCATACTCTAGGCTGTGCTAAATATAGCCCCAGCTTTAAGTTTAGCCAATGAAGGCATCAGGGTTTGAAACCAAGTTAAAGATACACTTACATCAAAATTACACATAAGATTATGTAGCATGCTACATACAATCATGCAAATAATATATCATAATCCAGCACCCTCAAAGGATAACACTGGATACTGAAGAACAGCTTTTAAATCAGATTACTTTTGGACATCTTCAATATACAGTTTAGTTTTAGTTTTATAATATAATTTATTTATGTCTCACGCTAAAAAGAATAAAAATACACAGTACATACTAAAAACAAAAACATTTAGCCCAGCGGGCATTTGGCTTATGAGAGACTGAAACATAGTTTAATACTTGTTATTTTAAATGTTGTAAAATCTAAAATTAATCAATAAAATACTTTTTGCGATTTAAAAGCATATTGTTTACAACCTTAGCTTTACAGCCTTAGGTTTTCATTTGTCATGAGAGTACAGTATTTACCCAAACTAGATAGCTGATTAGCACACCAAGGTGTCCTGGACACACTGAAATTGGGTGAACATGGGTTCCAATCTTGCTGATATCTGACATCTTATATCTGACATCTTATATCTCTCAGGTATCAATGTTTGCGAGACATACTGTACCTTAGAAAAGGTTCTATGACATTTCTTGATGTTATAGTTGAAACAGATGTCGTGTTCATTCTGTCCCTATTGCGCAAGTGTCTCGGTGGAATGTTTTTCTGAAGCAATCTTTTTACTTCTGTTCTCCCATAAACATGTAAAGTTCTGGGAAAACCCAAGTATTTTCACAAGTGAGATAGTATTAACATGTGCCTGTTTTTCTATTTTTCCCTTGATGTGGGGGATCTATCATAAAGCTGGTATTGACATTTGGGTCATAAGCAATAAATGATAAATGTGAAAGGTTGATATGGTGTGGTTCATCAACTACTGGATACTGAAGAACAGCTTTTAAAACAGATTACTTCTGGACATCTGCAATATGCAGCACACCTGAGAGTCCTGGACACACTGAAGTTGGGTGAACAAGGGTTCAAACTTTATTAGTTTCTGATACCTTATATGCCTCAGGTATCAATGCTTGTGAGACATGTTGTACCTTTGATACTTAAACGTTTGGCTATTTGAGCAATGGATTTTTTCTTCAACCTTTGCAAATAGGGAAAGGCTGAGCAGTTATCAAGGTGTCTGAAATCTGTTGCATCACTTGCTAAATGAATCATTGCATGTATGTTTTAGATCATTAATTCTTCACCAAATAGTTCTCTTCCTCTCTGCTCAAAATATACCAGCAACTGGGCATATTCAGCATGTATTTGTATCCAGCTTGGTGTCAAAGTGGCAGTGGCAAGTAGTAATTGACAGTGAAACTCTGATAGGTTATTTATTATAACTACAATTCATTACACATAATGAAGTATACGTGTAATATGTGGCACATTTCTTTGAGTTTCATTTTTCATGGCCTTAAAACAGAAAATAGCTGAAAGTGTTAATGTCACCAAGAATAATAATGACACCAGAATAATACATACAATTTTCTCTTTCATAAATGTCCATGAATCAAATACTATTGAAAGTGTTTCTGGATCATCTTCTGTAAATGCAACTACTTAGTATCAGTGTTTACTCATTCTGAAAACAAATTCAGTAGAAAATGAAGCAATCATGACTCAACCATAATTGAGAGTGTTTTAGGATAATCATAAACCATTCAACTATATCTGTGTTTACTCACTCTACAATTAATCGATTAGTAAATGTAGTAAGTTCAATAGTGGAATTATTTCAGATCAGAATAATTTTGAAACTGTTGTAACCTTTTTTTCGAGCAATATGTCGAGCGATTTCTCTTTGGATTCTTGGTGTGGTAGGTGCTCTACTCAAGTGGTCACAGGAATTGGGTAATTACTATGACATTTTATGAATTCATAAGAGAAAACAGTACTTTTATCTTCAATTTGAATTAGTCATGACACATCTAGCAGCGTGTCCATCTCAAATAATAATGTTGCACCAGTAGTACATTTTTGCATGAGGGGAGTGTATGTGTTCTGGGCATTGTGTTGACACTGCCCCAATGCCAAATGGTGTTTTCAATTATTTTTTATGTGCTATCATATACAGAAAAAGTGCACTGTAAGAATGTAAATGTAAGCATGTAATGAATAATGGATCTGAATGATTCTGTTAGATGGATCAGTATGCCCAGAAAATCAATTCTAAATGGATAAATTAAAGTTACAAGACTCATTTTCATGAAGAACAACCATACTTCTGCATTAAGGATAACTTTAGCAATTATATTGACGTTTTGCGACCTTTAAGGATATTGACAAATAATTCATGTTGTCAAGGTCATAGATGTACGTAGCTGTTTTTTTTTTATGAAGTTGTGTTACTTGTTACAGAGTGATGTAACACCGCCCATGTAAATGCTACATGTGATGGCAAACATTTCTTCAAGTATGGCTGGTTTATGGGCTCTTCCAATAATATTTTATTCCTTTGCATATTGAAAACATATTTTTTTGCATTTGCTTGCAGAAAACCAGAAATGTTTCACAATGTCTGGAATCCTAGGCAAGATATTTTTCTTGTCCTTTTTTGTGCAGATTTGAAGTCTGGCAAATCTATATGAACATCTGATTTCATTCTGGGCTAGCTCCAAGGGGTACTGACTTCTGACTATTGGTCCAGCAGTATCAGCAGAAAATCTGGTGTTTTTTGTTTCACTTTGTACATATAAATGACGAGCAGTTACCTCATGCAATTTGCCTAACTCAACACCATCTACAATGAAGTTGTTCTTGTTCAGAATTCCATTGGTCATATAATTATCAGTTTTCTCTTGTGGTTTGTCTACAAAACAGCTCCTATGAAATGGTCATGTTAAACAGAGAAATGTAATGTTTTCTATCTTGTGGCTTGTCTACAAAACAGTTCCTATGAAATGGTCGTGTTAAACAGAGAAATATAATGTTTTCTCTCTTGGTTACTCTAATGGCTTGTCTACAAAACAGTTCCTACAAAATGGTAATGGAAATCTTTGCAACCTCTGAGACTTGTTTCGATGCTCTTGCTCACTCAGAAATCTGAGTCAATCACAGACTCCTAATCACTAAAAATTTAGATGCATGACATTTTAAATAAAGCTTAAATTTGATGTTGTATTCATTTCTCAGCATACATGTACTTTCCTTCAGTTGAGGTTATCACTCCCAACTTGTGTACCTTCAACAATTTGGTGAGTTAATGATATTGTTTATTGTATCTTTATTTTCCATATAAATATATGGAGCAAAACGTTGATGCACAAATTGGAGGGTTGAGAGGTTGCAAAAGTTGTAGATGCATCCGTAGGAATTGACTCATGCGCCATCTTAAAATTCAATGATGGCATACCTGACATACCTACATTTAGATGGTTCAACAATATCTTCAAAC